GTTTCATACCATTGTGATCCGAGAAGATGCTTGATACGATTTCAATCCTCTTGAATTTGTCAAGACTTAGCTTGCATCCTAACATGTGGTCTGTCTTTGAGAATGTCCCCTGTGCACTTGAGAAGAATGTATACGCTGTATCTTTGGGGTGAAATGTTCTGTAAATGTCTATTAAATCCATTTGATTTAGTGTGTCGTTTAGGGTTCCTGTTTTCTTGTTGATTTTTTTTTATCTAGAAGATCTAACCAGTGATGTCACTGATGTGTTAAAGTCCCTGACTATGATTGCATTGCTGTCAATCTCTCCCTTAAAGTCCTCTAGAAGTGTTTTTATATATTTAGGTGCTCCTATATTGGGTGCACATATGTTTAGGTACTCTTGTTGTGTCGATCCTTTTAGCATTATGAAATGGCCTTCATTGTCTCTTGTTACGGCCTTCAGTTTGAAGTCTATTTTGTCAGATATGAGTATTGCTACTCCAGCTTTCCTTTTTTTTCCATTTCCATTTGCATGGAAACATTTTTCCCATCCCTTCATTTTCATTCCGTGTGAGTCTTTTGTTCTGAGGTGGGTTTCTTATAGACAGCATATATATGGGTCATGTTTTCTTATCTATTTAGCTACCTTATATCTTTTTATTAAAGCATTTGATCCAATTAAATTTAAGGTTATTATTGAGAAGTGCTTGTTTGTTGTCATTTTAATTCTTTATGCCTGTGTTTCTCCCTCTCTTTCTATCTCTTCTTACAACAGTCCCTTTAGCATTTCTTGCATTGCTGGTTTAGTGGTAATAAATTCCTTTAGTTTGTTTTTTTGTTTTGTTTTGTTGTTTTTTTGTCTGCAAAGCTCCTAATTTCACCTTCAATTTTGAGTGATAGCCTTGCTGGGTAGAGCAGTCTTGGACTCAGTCCCTTGCTTTTCATTACTTTGTATACTTCATGCCCCTCCCTTTTGCCCTGAAGTGTTCCTACCGATAAATCAGCTGATAGTGTAATGGAAGCTCCCTTGTAGGTAACTTTCGGTCTCTCTCTTGCAGTCTTTAAGATTCTTTCTTTGTCTTTAACATTTGCTATTTTAATTATGATGTGTCTTGGTGTGGATCTTTGGGGGTTCATCTTGATTGGGACTCTACGTTTCCTGAACTTATGTGACTTTTTCTTCACCAAGTCAGGGAAGTTTTATGACATTATTTCTTCAAACAGATTTTCTATTCCTTGCTCGGCTTCTTCTCCTTCTGGTACCCCTATGATGCGGATGTTGTTTCATTTCATATTGTCCCAAAGCTCCCTTAAAGTCTCTTTCTGCTTTTCTTTTCTTTTCTTTTTTAATATATATTGATTTCAGAGAAGAAGGGAGAGGGAGAGATAGAAAGAAACATCAATGATGAGAGAGAATCATTGATCAGTGCCTCCTACAAGCCCAACACTGGGGATATAGCCTGCAACCCAGGCACGTGCTCCAACCGGGAATCAAACCGTGACCTCCTGGTTCACAGGTGGACATTCAACCACTGAGCCACACTGCCGGACTCCATTGATTATTATTTTTTCCAAATTGCTGCTCTGATTGGGTGGTTTTTTTCTACCTTGTCTTCTAACTCACTGATTCAGTCCTCAGCTTCTTCTAGTCTACTGTTGAAACCTTCCAGTGTGTTCTTTATTACAGCTACATCATTCTTCATTTCCTCTTGATTCTTATTCATGTTGGTAAATTTCTCATTTAGCTCCTATACTTCTCATTAAGTTGTCTGTAATTCTCATTCCGATGTTTGAGCATCCTTGTCTTTTTAAAATATTTTTTCATTGCTTTCAGAGAGATAGGAACTCAATGATGAGAGAGAAACACTGAGTGGCTGCCTCCTGCACACCCCACACTGGGAATTGAGCCAGCAACCCAGGCATGTGCCCTGGCTGGGAATCAAACCACGACCTCATTGTTCATAGGTCAACGTTCAACCACTGAACCATGCTGACTGGGCTCTCTTCCTGCTTTTTAATTATTTTTTCCAAATTGCTGCTCTGATTGGGTGGTTTTTTCTACCTTGTCTTCTAACTCACTGATTCCGTATCCGCTTCTTCTAGTCTACTGTTGAAACCTTCCAGTGTGTTCTTTATTACAGCTACATCATTCTTCATTTCCTCTTGATTCTTATTCATGTTGGTATATTTCTCATTTAGCTCCTATAATTCTCATTTAAGTTGTTTGTAATTCTCACTCCGATGTTTGAGCATCCTGATAACCATGACTTTGAACTCTTTATCTGACAAATTACTTGCCTCCATTTCATTTAGTTCCTTTTCTTTCATTTGGGGGTTGTTTCTTTGTCTTTCCATATTAGCAGTCCAGTAGTCTGGGGAGCCAGGTGAGGAGGGTGGGTTCACAGCAGCAAGTCCATGTGTTTAGAGGTGACTGGTCCCACCAAGTCGCAGCATCCGATCTTCTGGTGGCACCAGGTTAAGCACATCTGGTCTCTGTGGCAGGTCCATGTGTCCAGGATGCATCAGCTCATGTCTACCAGGCAATGTCAGGCAGTGAGGCCATATGCCCAGGGGTGCCAGGTAAGACACAGTGGGTCACGATGACAGGACTGGGCACACCATGTCAAAGCGGTGGGGCATGTCTACCAGGCAATGTCAGGCAGTGAGGCCATTTGCCCAGGGGTGCCAGGTAAAACACAGTGACAGGGTCATGATGACAGGTCTGGGCACACCATGTCAAAGCAGTGGGGCCAGTCATCGAGGGCACTGGGGGGGGATGTGCTGGTTCAGGGCAGCAGGTCCCTGTGTCCAGGCTGGGCCCATGTCAGATGGTGGGGTGGGCCAGGCACTCTGCTGTTGAGGGCAGAGGGTCAGACCAGGGGTTGCTCTGCTGGTACAGAGGGCAAAACTGGTGTCCCACTCACCTCTATGGTGGGGCAGGCTGGTCTTTCTGCTGACAGAGGGGTTGGGGCAGGCTGAGCACTCACTGCTAATGAGGCGAGAAGGCCTGTGGAGGAGGCAGCACCAGCTGGTTACTGACTCTGCTCGCTGAGGGCAAGCCCCATTCACCAGCGGGGCCAGCCTGTCGCTCTACCCAGAAGGAGGCTGGGCAGGCCAGATGCCCTGTTCACCAATATAGCAGGCAGACCCAGTACACTGCCAGGTGGGTCAGCCAGCCGGTCCTCCAAGGTGCACAGTTCAGGCTAACTGAGCCAATATGACTGTTCTGTGTGTCCAGGGACTTCAGGTCTCGGCCATGGGGCTGTGAGCATCCGTCAGTGGCCTAGAGGCATTGGGGCAAAGTCAATCCCCACAGCCTCCTCCCACAGAGGACCCTCAAAATGGCACACCCTCCCTTGAAGGGAGAGAAGTGCCCGGACAAGCAGCACACTGCAGTGGCAGTTCCTCTGCCTGGACTGCCCCAGTCACCCCCTAAGCTCCCGCTCCAACAAACAGAGGCCAGTGTGGCTCAGTGGTTGAGCGTTAACCTATGAACCAGGAGGTCATGGTTCGATTCTCAGACAGGGCACATGCCCAGGTTGTGGGCTCCATCCCCAATGGGGAGTGTGTAGCAGGCATCCAATCAATGTTTCTCTCTCAACATTGATGTTTCTATCTCTCTCTCCCTCTTCTTCCTCTCTCTTTAAAATTTATTGTAAAGAAAAACAAAAAACAAACAGGTGCCCTCCCACACACACTCTCCCACTCACACACTCACCCTCACTCCAGACCTGCTGGGGCAGGCTGAGCACTCACTGCTAATGAGGCAAGAAGGCCTGTGGAGAAGGCAGCACCAGCTGGTTACTGACTCTGCTCCCTGAGGGCAAGCTGGTGGGGTGCCCCATTCACCAGCGGGGCCAGCCAGTCACTCTACCCAGAAGGAGGCTGGGCAGGCCAGATGCCCTGTTCACCAATATAGCAGGCAGACCCAGTACACTGCCAGGTGGGTCAGCCAGCCGGTCCTCCAAGGTGCACAGTTCAGGCTAACTGAGCCAATATGACTGTTCTGTGTGTCCAGGGACTTCAGGTCTCAGCAATGGGGCTGTGAGCATCTGTCAGTGGCTTACAGGCATTGGGGCAAAGTTGATCCCCACAGCCTCCTCCCAAAGAGACCTTGAAGCTCCCTCAAAATGGCACACCCTCCCTTGAAGTGGAGAGAAGCACACTGCAGTGGCAGTTCCTCTGCCTGGACTGCCCCAGTCACCCCCTAAGCTCCCGCTCCAACAAACAGAGGCCCTCTGCATAGCCAGCGTGGCTCAGTGGTTGAGCACAGACCTATGGACCAGGAGGACCTGGTTCGATTCCCAATCAGGGCACATGCCCAGGTTGTGGGCTTGATCCCCAATAGGGGGCATGCAGGAGGCAGCTGATCAATGGTTCTCTCATCATGGATGTTTCTATCTCTCTCTCCCTCTTCTTCCTCTCTCTTTAAAATTTATTGTAAAGAAATCTACTGAGCCATGTTGGCTGGGCTAGAAAAACAAAAAACAAACAGGTGCCCTCCCACACACACTCTCCCACTCACACACTCACCCTCACTCCAGACCTGCCCACTGCCATGTCCTATTCTAAATGGTGTTTTGAACACCTGTCACTACCCCCAGCCAGCTGCTGGGGAATGCGTACAGGGACTCCGGGCAGCGGCATACCGTCAGCCTTCCATGGACTATGTGAAGCAGCAGCAGCTGAGCAGTCGAGGGAGGGTGGAGGACGGTTCCCAGCTCAGTTTCTGGTCTGCAGCAAGCACGCCTTCCACCAGGCGGCCTGCTCAACACCCAGTCCGGGCACTCACATTCGGGGGGTTGAGATGTCTGAGCTGAAGGGGCCTGGTGCTGCTGAGCCCAACCCATTTCAAAGAGGGGAGGACTAAGGCCCAGACAGGGCAAGAACCCT